TGTCCTTTTGGGAGCTAGCATAGAAATCAATTTAATTTACATGTATGGAAAACAAAAGCTCAAATCCTGTCTAAGATTATTTCTGCCGCCTTTTGTATTTTAGGAAAAAAATAAAGAAATTTAATAGAGCAGGGTTGAAAAGACATGGGGTAGTAAATAAGTAAACAAAATTTTTCCCATTTTGGGGGGGGGAACTATTCTTTTAATGTCCTCTCAGCATTCAGTGGAATAAGTAGGAAGATTCAAAATCCCACCTGTTTGACCTCCGTCATGAGTACATGGAGAACTGCAGTCTTTCCGCACAGACTAACCTCCTCCATAATGAGTCATTTTTGTTTTCTTAAACCAAAGTTATATTGTATATGGAGAGGGATTCTGGTGTCCTCCCTCCCCTTCTTCGGACACATGCATGCAGGCACTTCCTGGAAATGCATGACTAATGTGCACATCTGATGTACAGCAGCCTGAGAGCCAGTGTTCTCACACCCACACAGCTCCTGCTACTCCATCTACTTATTTCCACTGTCTCTCTCTCTCCATTTCTCTCTCATGAATGTGTCCACTAATTGCTCAAGCAGAAATCTTACCTGAAGTCCTGATGATTGCCAAACCACATCTGCGTAATTCAGTTCCTCTACCACCCCAGATTGTTCAAGCATTTATTTCATGTACAAATGTGATTGTCTGCGTAATAGTCACATTAAAGCCACCCCAGGGACTTTTTACATTTATGTTCTGACTGGAGGATGTGTCTCTGTTTCAGCTTGTAACTGTAATGGAAAGAATGCCGAATGTTACTTCGATCCGGAGTTGTATCGTGCCACTGGTCACGGAGGTCACTGCCGCAACTGTGCCGACAATACGGATGGGCCGAACTGTGAGCGATGCCTGGACAACTACTACAGAGACTCCTCCGGCCAGCGCTGTCTCTCCTGCAGCTGCAACCCTGTCGGTGCGTAAAAGACATACTTCACCAGCCCAAGATGGAAGATGCATAAAAAACCATGCTTGTTTTGTTTTATGTCTTTTTTGTTTGTTTTGTTGTATTTTTTTTTTTCGTTTTTTTTTTTTTCCGTTTTGTACTTAATCAAGGAGAAAAATAGAGAAACTGAACAGTGTGAGAAAAATGATGTGACGTGAGGGAACAAATAGGGATTATTTTATTTCATTTTAACATTTTGTTTTGGTGTAAATTTGAACGAGCCCCCAGAGCTTGAGTTTCTAACTATTTGTTTTACTGGCTCTTCACCTACAGGTTCTCTCAGTACCCAGTGTGACAACACTGGCAGATGTAGCTGTAAGCCGGGGGTGATGGGAGATAAGTGTGACAGATGCCAGCCTGGGTTTCACACATTGACTGCGGCAGGCTGCAGGTAAAGTGCTTTAACACATTCATGCTGGCATGGCTTAAACCACCAACCTGGAACACTTTCTTACACTTTGACTTTTTGACTTCTCCTTAACCTTCTTGCTCCCTCTTTTCCCTCTACAGACCCTGCTCTTGTAATCCAGCCGGAAGCACGCAGGAGTGTGATGTCCACACCGGACGCTGCCAATGTAAGGAAAATGTGGATGGATTCAACTGTGACAGGTCAGACTCATTACTTTACAAAACATCCACACACATGTTCACACACACAATGGCAACTGTTATGGCTTTTTAAACACTCCTGCTGTTAAGTGTTGTCCATACTTGACTTGTTCACAAGGACAAAAATGATAATTACTAAGATTGTTTAAATATGTTCTCAAATTAGAAACGAGTCATCAATAGAATTAACTCGAACATCAACGCTACAAAAAAAAATCCCATAAAGATAGTCCACCTTTCAGCTCCTGCTCTGTTATGAGGATGTCTGTTAAAGCTTTTATAGACAGACATTTAAAAAGGGGCGTCTGACGTCTACACCGTTTTTCTTATGGAAAGTCCCTATGTGGGTGACACACAGAGGTTCTGAGGCCATGTGTGTGTCTGAGAAACAGAATTAGGACTCTCAGTGTCAGATGGAAGAGAAAATAGCTCAGGGATGGCCAGGTTTCCCAGCTGAGAGCCCTCAGCCAGACCATGTAGGGCCTCCAGACTTGCAGTCACCAAAGTTTAACTAGCCTGGTGTTCTGCCTGTTGACTGATGGGCTAGCTCTACATGTTTCATTATGTGTCTGTAATTTAGTGTGATTAATTTTTAAAAACACAACTTTTTGAAAGGAGTCTCTTACACTCACCAAGGCTGCATTTATTTGATATAGTAAAATATGATTACAAATTAAAATAAAATATTTTAAAACATTTTTATAATGTATTTTAAAATATAATTGATTCCTGTGATGGCAAAGCTGAATTTTCAGCAGCCAT